GTATGCTGTATCTTTAGCTGCTCCTGGAATTATGTTTCATTGCATTAATTTAATTCCTTGTTCAAGTAAATGTGGACATCAGCTAATAGCTAATACATGTGTCACTTACCCTATTTGAGAGCATTAATTATTATAACTATCTTCCTCCCAACTACACCTTACAATTACATGCAGTTCCATAAAGTTACAGGACATAATTAGAAGACCTTGCAGCAGTGCATGAAGAAGGACACTATAGCATCCTGACCCACAAAATGTCATAGGTACCTAACACTGAACATGAGTAGAATTTAGATGCTTAGGTCTAAGGGCATCTATACCAATAGCTTATTGTGCCAAGCTCTATCTACCATGCTGAAACATACTATATTGCTTCCTGAGTCTGGAAGTAATATAATAGCCTTAATATAGTATTGTGGATGGGGTAATTGATTTTGCTGAAAAGGCTGAGCTAATTAAGATGGACACATCACTGCACAAACATAGCTATGCTGCATCTTCCTAGGGAGGTATTATACTCAGCCCAATATTATGTGTTTCAGCATGACACTGCCTGCTACAGTTAAGTTAGTGTTGTTGACTGACCCCAAGAGGGCAACCCCTAAAGCCCCACATAACTTCAAGTGTTTTCACTAGAAAAAATCCTTAGGCACCTAAAATCATACTTCTAGGAATGCCCAGAACTGCCTTCTTTTTGGCAGGATTGAGCAACCTGGGATCAATCTGGTAGGAGTGCCCAAAGCATACCTATGATATAACTGAAAAGAATGAGCCTCATATAATATGCAGCAGCTATTTAAAAACATTAAAAAACATCAAAAGCCATTTCCAATTTAAAAAATAGGGGGATGGTACTGCCCTCCTTGTATAAAACTTCTCAGTATTTGGAGAATTTTCCTAAGGTATAAGGCAACTATCATCTTTGTTTTATGCAGTTTGAAGGATTTCAAAGCCAGATCATTCACTTCCCAGGAAAGTGCCCCAATCACCTTGCTGTAAGCTACTGCAATCACCGTTTCAAAATAAGAGCAATCAGTGCTCTGTTTTTGAGGGCCCAGGGCTGTGAATCTTAAAAAGACATTGATACCTGTCTGAAACTCTCAGTTAGGTTCCTAAATCTATGAGAGGGATTAGGACCGAAAATATATGCCTCTGTTCAGGATTACATCTCGGTTAGTTTAGGTTGCTGCCTGATCAGCATGGTGGCTGTATCCCATGCTGACTGGCTTAACTCTACCTATGCATTCTGTAGTGATTCTCAACCTGTTCAATCCCCTGCTATGGGAGGCCATAATGCCAGTGGAGCTAGTATAACATAGTTACCTTACGGTAGTGCTCTAGGTAAGATAAATTGCTGTATTCAAGTGGTAAATACCCAACCTAATTAGCTTCACAAGGGGGATAATTTAATTAGCTCACCTGAAGCGCTGCACAGAGGCCACTGTACTGTTTCCTGTTTGGGAAGCCAGGCACACAGTACAATGTTTAAAGGCACTTCTGCTTGATGCTGTGAATGCTTTCAAGACCCTCAGCTGATCCCCTTCCAAACACACACAGTATCTATCCTTATTTCACCCTTCCGCACCCCAGAATCTTTGCAGTCAATTGGGAGCATTGACCACTAGCTGAAAAACACTGGTACAGGGAGGCTACAGAATGTAACCTGTGGATTCCACTCCAGAAACCAAGAAGCCCTAAAGCCGTTTCCGGACTTAGCCCTAAAACCCTTCTCGGGTACAACACAATATTGGGGAAGATACACTGTTGCCTTAAAAACATGCACAATTTGCACAAATCATCCATCCCAAATCCATCAGACCAGGCAGCAATTTAATAGTTGAGAACATGCAGCTTATCACATCAGTTTCTTAGCTGCACCCTTACATATTTTGAATCACACTTTCAGATATGGTATTTTTTTCAGTAGAACTTAAATTTTTAGCTTATGATGTTTTCCTAATTGTAGACATATCAACATGTTGAAAGGCATGTCATCTTCAGGCACCAGTGACGGCTTCTTATCTAAATTGCCATTTCACAGGTAAATTTGGAAATCAATGAAATGCAGTTACATACATATATGAAGTCCTTATATAAATACCTGGGTAGTTTGAACAGATAAAAAGTACACTGGGCTGGGGCTCACTGAGGGATTTTTTTTGTTGCAAAATACCTTAGCTTCCCCTTAGTGTTTAACACCATGTTAATTAGCTTATGGCAGAATTTTAGGAAATCAGCTGAAGTATCATCATATAGGATAATGTAAGATCACAGCTAATTGCTTATTCTTCTGTCAATTACTTCCTGGTGCAAAGTGCTGCTAAAATGAAATGGAATTTGGTTATAGTTTATTATTTACCTGATTTCTCTTTCATAGTTCAACCAATTTTGAAGTAAATATCCATAACATATTATTTTTCTAGTATTATATATTACCAGCCACATTCTACATTCCTAAGATAATTAAAAGAGAATCAAGTGCCCTTCATGAGACAAGCAAGACAGCATGCTGAATTTTTCAATACTTTATATAATTTTCTCTCCTTGTTTTTAACTATTTTACCTTATTGAGTGTTAAAATACCCCGCACAGAGTTTGAAATGCCTTTCAGTGTTGCCATCAGGCAAAGAATAGACATTATTCAACATACTGCTTAATAACGCATTAGCTAAGAAAACACTTTCTCAAGTGCATACAGGATAGAATGAAAATGTGGCAGCTACAAATTATTTTCTATTACAAATGATAGATACTTCACACTTTCCCCTTAGGTATTTCACAGTAATCATAACCCATCTTTGAAAATAAATAAGCAATTGAAAAATAACTTTACTGACATTCTTGATATCCAGTTTCTTCAGCAAAGAGCACAAAAGACATTTACTATTCATGCCAAGTGATACTTTCATCATCTCTATAAAATGCATAAGGAAATTTAGGCACCTAAGGGATTGACGGAAGTCACTATTTTGAGTGTTAAGTCACATAAGACAGCCAAGCAGGAAATGCTGAGAACACAGGTGAAGCTTAAGCTTCATCTCTGTAGGGGAGGTAGTCATGTAAACCCAGATCCAATAAAGGGTTTAGATACCTTCAAAGTTAGGCACTGCATTGCTTAACTTCTAAGCACTTGCCTGCTGGAAATAGAATCCACAGCACCATATTCAGTGTGGAGGGAGTTACTTGATTAAGCAAGGTTTGGCCCATTCTTGCAAACTGAAGAGGTGTTTGTATTTCCTTCCCCTGTCATTCTGCATAGCACTGTAGTTGGAACATTCACCTGAGATGAGGGAAATCCTTATTCAAATCTAACCCCTGTTTTGGAGGTGAGATTTGAAACAAGGTTAAGACACACCTATAAAGTAGACAACCAAAGCCCTAGGCTACAGAGTAGTCTGACTGGGCCCTTCTTAATCCCTTTAGTTTCATAGATGTTAAGGGCTGGAAGGGACCTTACAGATCATGGGGTCCACCCCTCCCCCCCCCACTTGTACAGGAAAGACTGCTGGGGTCAGATGATTCCAGCAAGGTGGACATCAAGATACTTTTTGAAACAGTTCTGTTTGTATAAAACACTTAAATACTGGTAAATACTTAAATACAAGGGAGGTAGTACTCTCCCCTTCCTTGGAGGTGTTCAAAAGGAGATTGGACAAGCACTTGACTGGGGTTACTTAACCCCAGTACTCTTTCCTGCCTGGGGCAGGGGGTCAGACCTGATGATCTACTAGGTCCCTTCTGACCCTAGAAATCTATTAAATCAATTACCTCTATGGTTGAGCCATAGAAAAAGCACTATAGCCTGATGGCCCATATACTTACCTGGGACACTTAGGTTTAAACTTTGCATCAGTAAATACTCTTGCTGGTTTTTGTGTGAGGTTCAAGGCAGTAGATACATTCTGAGATGTGCCTCCTGGACCTACAGGCAAAACTGAATTGCATTTGGGGGAACAGTGGCAGAAATTCAGGAGATTCAGTTGGTGGAAATGTAGTAATCTTCAGGTTTATGCAGGAGCTGAGCAGGATTTGGAGGGTCTAAATTTTGGAGTTAGGTGTCTACATTAGCAGTTAGGAACATGCATCACTGAGAAGTCAGAATAATTTGTGAAACAAATAACTGCCTACCATACATATTCTATGTGAAGAAACAAAATTAACTTATTTTGACAATGTTTCTATTGAGGGATGTAGCAATGGGGCAGGTAGAAGGGGCAAGCACCACCATTTGTTAAAGGCCATCAATTACATTCCCATGTCCTTCTTGTGACAGGGTGACCCCTTGGCACAGCACATCCTCCCAAAGAGAAATCCATATTATGGAAGTGCCTTAATTCTGCCCCATTTGTATAAGAACCTAAATATGTCTTTGTTTCTATTTATGAAAACAAGGAATAACATTCTGTTTCCAGTTATATCACTGCAACCCTAGAGAAGCTAGTGATTTTTTCAGGTATATCTGAGAGCTAAATTTATGAGAATTAAAAAATGAAAGATTAAACTTAGTAACTGTATTAACTACAGTAATACTGAGCATGGTAGCTTATTAGATTGCTTAATGTTAGTTTATTAGGTAGCAGTTACTTTCCTATTGCATAGTAATTTCCAGTGCAGCTACAAAATCTTCTTCATGACACAAAATTTATAAGCAGGCAGTATGCAACATGTTTTAGTAACTGGCTGAGAGCAGTGCCTATTTGAGAGCATATTTTATTAGCTGTATGGATCTAATTTCCATTTTTCTCACAGTTATTTCAACTGTACTCTTTCAGTTCCTGCTCGTCTAAATAATCTTCCTCCTACTTAGAACCAGTTTATATAAGTTACATATGTGGGAAGTCTGAAAGGCAATAAGCAATGGTTACCTACAATTTCAAGCCCATAGACCTATTTCCTGCCTCTCCTGTCAGAAAATATTTGAAGATTAATTCACCAGAAGAAAGTTACAAGAAAAAAGATGTCACAGCAACTGCTTTGTAATATAAGTTTTTAAAACTTACCGGAACTGAAATTTTAGGATTATTGTTAAGTTTTCCCAGCACAGCAAAGCCATCAGTGTTGATTTTGCCCTTTGGTTTTATGTTTAAGGATTCTACCTTAAGGCAGTCAATAAAAAGAGTGACACTGGTCTTCTCCACGCTGATCATAAGCTTGTGCCATTGGGAATCAAACAGAAAAGGCAAATGCAAAAAGTTTGCAGTCTGGAGACTTCCATCCAGTCCCGTATAAGAAAACTCAACACTCTTAGCTGGACCATTAAGCTTCACTCCAACTTGTTCTTTTCCTGAAGAATCCTGAACCTGCCAAATACTCCAGTATTTCTGAAGTGTGCTTCCAGTCATCCGAAAAGTAGTTAGAAAGGAATATTCATCAGGCAATCCGTTGGGATACAAAGCCCTGTATAGGATCAAAGTACAGTAATTTATTCATGCACACGTGTGTAGTCCTCATTTGGCCTAAAGGTCAAAGCAAGCTCTTGACCCATGATGATTCAGGCAATAGACCTGAACAATGAACTATTATATCCAAGGGTGTGTTTTTTCAAATGTACTTTGTTGCTCTGCCCATCGCTTTAGCCATCACTTTAACAGAATCAGATTATTTAATTGAAAATTATACAAAATGTAAGACCTCACATTCAGAAATGAATTGTATCCTATGATATTCACATGAGGAGCTAAGTCAATCAGAAATCTACACAAACCTAGCAGTCCATAAGGCTATCATAGTTAAGGTATACCATTTACTATAGCCAACAGTAGACAAGGAAGCATTTGGCTAGACCCAACATCCAGCTACTTTGGACTCCCAAGCCCAGGGATGGACAAAATATGGCTTGCCAACTGACTGGATCCAGCCCATGGCTGCCCCCCTGCAGCACTCTGCATGGAGCTGAGCCCCACCCGCTCCTACTGGGGCAACCTGTGCCTGCCAGCCTGGGCCCCACCCAGCATATTCAGCTTCTGGCAGGGCTGTTCCTGGTGTTGCTTTGCTCCCTTTGCCTCCAGCAGGAACTGCCCGGCTGAAGCTCCCACCTGCCCAGAGTGGTGCAGCAGGAGCAGGAATGGGAGGTGGCACCACTGGAGGTGAGGGGATCAAAGCAGCACTTAGCCAGCTGCAGCCCCACCAGAAGCTGATTTGCGCTGGTCAGGGCCTGGGCCAGTGTAGCTGTTCTACTCCCCTTGCCTCCAGATACAGCTCCTCCTCCTACTCCTGCCCTTGCTGCACCACTCTGTGCATAGGGGAGCTTCAGCCAGGCAGCTGACTCCAGCTTTTGGCTGCATTCCACCCACTCTGCCCACCCAGCATAATGATCAGCCACCTGCAGGTGGGTGGAGTGGGTAGAAGCTGGAAGCAGAGCCCCACGCACTGGGGCAGGAGCTGCCCAGCTGAAGCTACCTTCCTGCCCACCCAGAGTAGCACAGCAGGGGCAGCAGCAGGAGGAGGAGCTGCTGGTGGAGGCGTGGGGAACAGAACAGCTCCAGGAGAGCTTGGCTGCACTGCTGTCTACCTCCCCTTTATGAATGTTAATTCAGCCATTGGGGTAGCTCAGACACTGGTCTGTTCAGAAATATGAGAAAATAATTTTAGTGAAAGTTTGTGCCCCCTCTCATTGCTTATCCTGGAGGACCACTGGCTGTTGCTGTTACTCTAGCAAGCTACAGTAACTCTTTCACATAAAGGCTTCATTGTGTCCAGTGCAGCTGTTAAAGTGCATTCACATTCCAGTAGGTCTCCCAAGCAGCAGCAGGACTTCAGTGAGGGAACTGAATAGATTGACAGCCACTGAGAAGGGACAGAAATAGTTTCTTCCTAAAACTTTAATGGAAACTGCCCTTGCTTTTTTTATTCCTATGAATAAACTGCTTAGAACTGCCTGGTCGCATATACACAAGCATATTCATGTAATACAATAAACTCCAGTACTTATCACACTGGGGCTTATTGCTCCCAGGTGCTGCATTTACACATGCACATGGGACTGCAACACTTTGAGCCAACTTGGAGCAGCCCCAGCTGGCAGAAAGCCTGAGGGTGTCAGCCTGCCAGCCCAGGGCTGCTCTGACATAGCTCAATGTGCTGTGGAGGGGCTGCCTGGGCACAAGGGTGCTCCAGTGCAAGGCTAGCTAGCACTGAAGCACCCTCATTTCCCACCCAGCTGGGGCAACTTCTACATGTGTGGTACTGTGGAGTAAAAAACTCCACAGCAGGATAGTACTTGTATTCCTCTTGCTGTGGAGTTAGTTAATTTACCCCAGCCTAATAGGGGTACACTTATAGATGTGTAATATTTTTGCACAGCTAATTAATCTACTGTGCAGTAAACATTTCATGTAGATGTGCCCCTGAGTATCAGGAAAAGTCAGGGTGTTAGGAGGAGGAACATATGGGATGGTGATATGCCACAAAATGATCTTATTCAAGTTCTTTTGAGAGGGGGCAGATGACGTGGGGGAAAGCAGTAACATGACTAAGGAAGGGGCAACCAGGGCATCAGTTCTGGGCACTGACTGAGGGAAGGGACAAAAACAGTAGCTGCTGCAATTACTGTTCTGGCTGCCACACCACTGCCAGCAGCATAGCTGCAGCTACTGCCCCTTGAGCTGCCTGCACCCAGGGTACAGAACTGCTGGGTTATGCCCCAAGGGAGTGGTACCTGTAAATGTTTGTTAGATGGATAAAACTGGAGATGTCTCTGTAAGCTAGAAAACATACATGTATACAGTACATCCATATACCAGATAGAATGTATGTGTGCACGTGGCTACATACTTGAAATGTATCTATACATCCGAATAAAGTAGAAGGGGAGATAAAACTGTTTATGAAGCTGTATTTACATGTATATACATGGGTACTATGTACACACATTCAAACTGCCACTAAGGGCCTGCTCCAACTCAATCTTTCATTGACCTTAGCGCAGGGGTGGGCAAAATATGGCCTGTGGGTTGGTTCCAGCTACCACGGGATTCTAACCAGCCTGCAGCAGGTCCCTCAGCCTCACTCGGTGTGTACATGAGTGTGTGTGGGGGGGGGGGGGCAGCCTGGGCTGTGGTGCGTGTGAACAGTCCTGCTGCCCCCAGGCAAGCAGTGGGCTGGGGTGGTGCAGTGGCCAGACTTAGCTTCCCAGCAACCCCAGTGGCAGTGGCTTCTTCTGACTGCTGTTGCCAGTGTTATCACCACTGCTGGACACAGTCCCGCAGCCCAGGCACCCTGGCCCGTCCACCCCACACCCACTGCTGGGTGTGCTGGACAGAACAGGCAGGTGGGCAGGGTCTCCATGGAGACTGGCCTGGGACCCCTGCGGACAGGACACACTCAGTTGGGCAGATGGGATGGGGCCACAGGTGAGTGAAGAGTGGTATCCAGGAGAGGGATGGGTGGGCAGAGGCAGAGCCCAACTGGCCCACTCACCCATCCCACTCCTAGACGCTGCTCCCTGCCCACCTGTGGCCCCATGCCATCCACCTAGCCAAGTGCACCCTGTACACTGGGTTTGCAGACCAGTCTCCATGAAGACCCTGCCTACCCACCTGCTTCCGCACCCCACTGTGCCAGGAAGGGTCAGCAACCCCTCCCAGCTGCACCCAGTCAGCACTTCCCCACACTGTGCTGGGTCAACACCACCCCCCCGGCACACTGGGTCAAGTCAGTACCACCCAACTTCCTGCCCCACTCCCCTCCCACTCAGCCCTGCAACAGCTCACCAAAACTCCCTAAATAATTGCCCAGCCCTGCCTCAGTGGGTTTCTCTATATATCTTAAATGCACACTTCCCTCTCCATTCTTGGCTCATGGCTTGGTCATTTTTTTCTTCATTTACTGCATACCTCATCTGTTTGGCCTTCTGACATCTGATTTATCCATGCCAATAGTCTAACATGTTGCCTTTAGGTTATATTTCTTTCCTGCTGCTGTGACATCACTTCTCTCTGTTAATTGTCATTTTTCCCCATCATTCAGTAACCCTGTAGGACCAATATGACACTCACACCAGCTTGTGGAAATGTTACTCTATCCAAGGATCTCTGAGGAAGGCAGATGCAGAATAAGGTAAAACAAAACAATGAAAAGCTCTTAAGAGTGATCTATAGCTAAAGGTTCTACTGACATGGCTCTGCAAATTAGGAGTGTGAGAGAATCACCCCCTGGCTGACCCAGCTATGCAGACAAAAACATCGTTATACCAGCAAAAGTGTTCTTTTATCAATATAGTTTATTTTGCTAATTGTGCTATACTGGCAAAAGGGGTGTTTTGCCTATATAAACTCAAACGCAAGGATATTTGTCTTATAGATGTATACAAACTGCCAGACAGCCCCTCTTTCCACTTAAGTAATTAAAACAAACACATGTTGTAACTTTTTCAAATGGAATGGAAAAAAGATTGTACAAAATGTTGTATAATATGATCTATGGACATAGGCAAGAGATAACAAAAACAATGAAGAGGATGTATATGGTAGGGTCGATTTGCACCTTTTAGGAAAACTAAATTAGGGATGTACATAGCACAAGATTTTGTAAGCTGGAACTCACTTCCTCAGATTCTGTAAAAGAACATACATAAGAATTTCTACAGAAGTGTACAGAATGGAGTGATTTGAATACAAAAGGCAGAAAGAGAGGAGGAAAAAGGGGAGGGATGGGGCAAACAAGCAAAGAACCCACAGAAATATAAGGGGCACAAAAGTTAATATAATAAGATAAGAATCCGTAGTCCCTATTTAAATTACGCTTAGTACAATGTGGGGGCACAGCGGACATCTGGGTACACTGCAAGGCCTGTCTGTGTTCCCAAATCAGTACAGCCTACATCATCATTGGACCAAATAACCTGGATTCTAACATTCGCAGTTCATTCACCTGCAACTCTATCAATGTCATATACGCCATCGCATGCCTACGCTACCCTTTAGCTGCCTACATTGGACATCTGGGGCAACCCATGTGCCCTGTGGCTCCTCTCTACCACCACCACCAAGAGCACACAGCCCCAGCAGAAGTGGACCAGCCAGAACCTGCATGGACAGCCCCAACCCTGGTCCACCTCATGCCTGCTCCTGACAAACCTGCTCATGCTGATCAGCGGCAGCAAACAGGCAGAAGCTGCTGCTCAGCATGAAGGAAAAGCAGCCCCTCGTGGGTGGCTGCAGCAAGAAGGGCCTGGCAGCGGTGAGCGGGAGGGCTGCTTTTCCCTGGTGCCAAGTTGCAGCTTCTGCCCAGGCACAATTTGAATGGGAAATTGTGGAACAAGAAATCATCCACAGACTGGATTGAGTTAAATGTGGTTTAAACAAGGACTATGGATTCTTTTCCCATTACCTATATTAGCTTTTGTGACCTCTTTGTTCCTATGGATTCTTTGCTTGTTTTCCTCTCCCAGCACTGCC